TCTTTGAGTCGTGATGATCAGGCACTGGTAACCTAGGTAACTGGTAACTGGGCTGAAGCTGGTTGGGAGTGATAGGACTATATTGAAATTGTTCTGGATCCTTCCTTAAAGGCCCAGTTGATCATTCTGAACTGTGGCCATATGTGGTATTTCCAAGGGTTTGTTTTGGCACTGGTGCTCTCTAGGATATTTATACTGCCACAGGGGAGATATTTTTTTAAAGATGTACAGCCTGGCTCAGTATTATTAAACTGCTCTGAAGATGATAGCCTGCTGTAAATCAAGTTATCTTTAAATAACTGGGATCTTTTTTGCTTGATGGACTATAATACCAACAGTCAAAATTGGATCCAATTAAATCATAACTTTCCTAAAGATTATATTAATCCAGTCTTTCAATATTGACCCTTCATTACCAGTAGAGTGCTTTGGAATCCCTTGTGAACGAATGACACTATCGTACATAAAACCAAATTGCATTATATCCCAACGATGTAACCAACAAGTTAATGCATTTAAATGCAAGGGAAATGGGCATTACGTATAGCCCTGAGATACAGATATTTTACTCAGGATATCTACATATGTAAAGCCCATGAAATTGTTTCATAAAGGCTCTGATTATGCTGTAGAGGATTTTTTTAAGGCATTAGGGATTAACTATCTGCAACATTTTGTTTTAAATACTAACGACATTCTTTATACTGCAGTGTAAAGAGCACAAAAAAGCATCTATGACGCACATTACAAGTTATAACCCCTGGAATTCAGGTTTCCTAATGGCAACTGCTGATTATCATCGTTAGCTATAGTGGAACTACATTACTGGGCACTAATATTACTGGGCACTAACATTACTACTACTATATATTGCAATTCCCCCAACAGCCCATGATGAAATTATTCTAACTTTTAAACTACTGCTGCAAGGAAGACTATATTCAGATCTAAATCAGCTGAATACCCTGGAAAGCAGTGTGTTCTGATTTAGATATGAACTATCAATTTAGCAAGGTTGGCATATAAAGATGTTTTGAAGCCGGAAACAGCATGGAATGACTTTATTCTTGATTCATTTTCTTTTTGATTTACTGACACAAATTTCTAACTGACGCACAGAATCTAAACTTTTGATAGATTGCTATGAGCTTTCAGATTCTAAACTCAGCAGGATGTGTGAGAAGTTGGAGATGTCACATTATCAATTCAAAGCTCTTATCAGCATAATACAGCATAGTGACACCATTTTATATAGTGAATTGCTACATATTATTAAAAAATCACTGCATTATGGGAGAATAGTTGTCAGCCTGGACTATATTAGAAATGTGAAAGAAGTATTAAGAATTAGAAATGTGACAGAAGTATTAATCCTGCCTTGAGTTCAGGGACTGGACTAGATGATCTGTTGAAGTCCCTTCCAGTCCTACACTTCTATGATTCTATTCCAGACACATACTTCAAAGAGTGAAGAACTCTGTGTGAATTAAGATATATTTAAGACTAATAGCCATTATTTATTGAGTGCAACAGTGTGCTTGGTACTGTACAAAAGGAAGTTATAGGTCCTGCCCTCAAAGATACTACAGTCCAAGTAAACAAATAGACACAAGTAGACACACACATAATTATAAACTAGGAGAGATTGTTGTCTTTGTTCTGGGTGGGAGGGAGGATGGTTTGCTATTTTTCTTATGAACAAAACCAACATGTCACTGTTGAGGGGATTAAGGTTGATGGGCCTCATGGAAGTGGTATGCTTATATAAAGAGAAGGCAGAAGCATGGTCACCAAGACAGGAATCAAGTTCTAGTTGTCGGGGATGGCCTGTAAGGAAACACAAGCAAAAATGGGAAACTGATGTAGAGGGAGTGGTTAGATCTGAAGGAGGATAGAGCAGGAGAGAGGATAAGAGATTAGACGGCACATCATAACTGGAATTGCTGTTTGCTTCAGAGTTGCTCCCAAACTATTAAAAGATTAACATTTTACATTGGTGCAAGTGGAAATTCTGTTCTTTTCTTCTCTCTCCTCTCCTCTCCTGCTGCCCCTCCAGCCCTCACCAGCACACTTCAGTTTGGTTACTTTACATTCTTTTTGTTTCCTTCACCACTCTGCATCTTCTTTCATGGTGCTCTATTTGCTACCAACATCCTCCTTCCCTCCTATGAGATTTGCAGCCTTGCCCACCTTCACCTCTGGCCTCGTCAGCCAGCATTCTACTATTAACTTACCCTGTAGCAAGCTCTACTGCCACTCCAGAGCTAACCGTTTAAAATAATGGGTAGAAAACGCCTACAAGTAGCCATATGCTAACAACTTCCACGTCTGCAAGTGCAAATGTGAATGCTGATCAAAAATTTCAAATACAAAACCCTCCTCATATGTTCCAAGTGGAGATGGTGAATAATTCTGTCAGAATTAGTCAAAAGAGAACAAATTTTACTTTACTGTAGCCTTACAAAGGTATATTGGATCCTGAGTATGTTGCAACCGTCAGACACTAAAATTCCACACTGCCTTTTGTAACTCTGGCCCCATCCCCTGAGTAGCTTCTCTTGTTGCAGTTAGGGTCAGCTGACCTACATTTTAGTCATTTTTGTGATGGAGACTCAAAACACCGTGTTTCAATGCCCTGAAACAACCCACATTTACCAGTCATAATGTTCCATAGCCAAAAAATCATTTTACAATAGCTTTGTTACATACAAGGTGAGACCCAGCAGGATTTTCTCAGTGCTGAACTCAGGACTGAGTTCTAGAAATGACTGATGAGATCACTATAACATTTTAAGTGTAAGTACACCTTTCTGTAATATGGAGAATATATTTTGTACCTTTGTAGTCTTATACATTTCAGTATAGAATTTTAACAGTGGCACAATTGGTGGAAATCTGCCTGTAAAATATATATTTCCCTACCCTCGCACAGAGACACAGTTCCACCACTTTATTAAGGAAATTAGTAAAAACAACTGCAGCCATGCAATTTAACTAATTTAACACCTCATGTTTCAGGGCCAGTAGGAGCTGGGAAATTGGGATCTACTGGGTCCGGGAAAAAATTTTAGACAAAGAGTTTATTCACTGAAAAACAGAGTTTTGGTGGAACTGAAACAATTCATAAATTTGACATGAATTCACTTAATGGTTTTGGCTAACAATCCCCCCCTCCCATATTTTTGGGACTTAGAAGCCATTCACTAAACAGCTGAAGGGGGAGAAGCCAGTGCTCATGCTATGGCTGCCTCTCTTATATCTTTAGCTCAGTGGTTAAGGCACCATCTTGGGATGTGGAGACCTAGGCTTAATCCCCCCCTCTGCCTAAGGAGAAGGGATTTGAACTCAGGGCTTCTACATTGTAGGAAAGTAGCCCAGTCACTGGGTTATAGGATATTCTGGGACAGCTCTCTCTCATTCTCTCCTGTTGAAGCTATTCCATTTTGTTTAATTAGTCAGTGGAGTAAGCACTTGAACTTGGGTCTCCCACCTCCTAGGTGAGTGCCCTAATCACCAGCCTATAGAGTCATTCCCATGCTCTTTCCCTGGCCCGATGACTATCCAGTGTCATTATGAGTGACTGTGAATGACAATGAATTGTCATTCTCATTCTCACTTTCTTTTCCTGGTCCAATGACTATAGACTGGAGATTAGGGCATCAAACTGGGGGGAGGAGAACTCAGGTTCTGTTCTAATGCTTATTTAATTATTCATATGAAGTGGTGCAGCTGCAGCCACAGGGACTTTTGAGACTGCCTACACCAGAATATCATATAACCATGCGGTTAGATGCAAGTTAAAATTCCTTCTTCCCGTTAGGCAGAGGGGAGAATTGCACCCAGGTCTCTCACACCCTAGGTAAGTGCAGTAACCGTTGGGCTAAACATTGTAAGGGAGCTGCTGCTGCTTGCCATTGCTGCTTCTTGTTTCATGCATCTATTTTTGAAAATGCCTGAAAGTGATTTTTTTAGATATACTGAAATTTTTCACAATTTTCAGACTTGGTTTGGATTGAACTGATTTTTTTTATTTTTTGTTTTCCAGAAGTGCCAGCAAATAAAAATACCAGTTATTTGCCCAGCTCTTACTCTTACTACATCCCGCTCTCTTACTAAATCCTTACATAATATGACTTGATGTGTCTCAGAATGGATGTTTGCCTTCCCGAGAAGCAACAAGGATAAGCCACTGCTGGAGGGAGGATACCTGAATCTGTGAAAAAATGTGCATTTCCTCAGTGGCAACTAGTGGCTCATGAGAAAGCCCAATTTTTAAACAAGAATATTTTCTTAACAATCTACAGAATATTACTCTGAGTCACGAAATGGATTTCTCTCTTTATATCTTTTATAGATATAAATACGCACACATGCAATGACAAAGATCTATCTATCTATATCTATGCATAGATTTGTCACTATATATTGATATATATATAAATTGCAGACAACACATTATTTTAGATGCTGGACCATTTAATTTTCCATTTTTACATTCACTAGTGATTTTTTCATTTATTTCATGATCATTCATTTAATTCCAATTTTCTGACATTAATATAATTCATTTTGTCACAGTCTCTTATAGCTGACTGTGTGTGTGTATGTGTGTGTGTGTGTGCGCGTGCGTACACAAAGCTATAGTGATGGATAAAATGAATTTAGGTAATGTACACACAAAGCTCTGTATGATAAAATGAATTATGTGGTCATCAGAAAATTAGCATTACATGAAAAATATCACTGGAAAATGTAGAAACTGAAAATTAAATTTTACAGCAATTGTGTTTTTTTACAAGAGTTCTCTGGCTAGTCTCAGTCTCTTAAAAGTTACACAAGTAACAGCTCTCTCTCATAAACAAGGTAGTTTATTTCTAACCCTCCCATTTTGCATGGAATAATAAAAGTCTGTACATGATAATAGGGCATTTAAAAATTACAATACAGAAGCTTATTAAGCATTGTAATAGTTGAATCCATGTTAAAATACTGTTACTCACATGCAAACTGAAGGGTGGCCTCTCTGCTCAAAATACTTCCAAACACATTGGTGGTTAAACATTGATATTGCCCAGAATCCTTTGCTTCATTGGGATTGTTGATGATAAAACTTCCTTCTATCAAACTGTAGCGGTAATCACTTTCAATATCAATTTCAGTTCCATTTCGTAGCCATCTTGGGAGAAAATGGGAGAAACTAGTTCAGCAATTGTCTGGAAAAGGACACTTCTGAAACCATGTAAAAGATGTAAATGAGTCAAGATGATTATTATAGGCAGTGCTCATACCAATGTCTTTATTAAAGTCACCAGATACTTCCCATGAAAAGATCCTGTTTTCAATTGTTTGTAGCTTCGCCAAACTTTAACAGTTTGAGCTGATTGTTTTGTTTTTTGAAACTTTCAGCTAAAACAGTTTAGACATTTCTGAGAACCAGGGTAGGGGAACATACATTGTTTTGAAAATATGAAAAAATACAGAAAGCCTTTGACAAGGTCCCTCCCCAAAAGCTCTTAAGCAAAGTAAGGTGTCATGGGATACAAGGGAAGGTCCTCTCATGGATTGGTAACCAGAACTGTGTGCAATATTCAAGGTATTATCTATCCCTTTCCTAATGGTTCCTAATATTCTGTTAACTATTTTACAGTGCCGCTTCACATAGAGCAGATGTTTTCAGAGAACTCTCCACAATGACTCCAAGGTCTCTTTCTTGAGTGGTAACAGCTAATTTTGACAAAGCCCTGGCTGGGATGATTTAGTCGGGGATTGGTCCTGCTCTGAGCAGGGGGTTGGACTAGATGACCTCCCGAGGTCCCTTCCAACCCTGATAGTCTATGATTCCATGGAACTGAAAGCAGGGAGTCTGTCTCCCCTGTGCTTTGAATGACCCACCTTGGTGGGCCCAGGAGCCATAGACAAAGAAGCTGCTTTATTCAAATGCAGAGGGCACAAGAACTGAACTTGTGGGAGAGGCAACAACTCATTGACTGGGATGAGGAATCTGGGTTGTGGTGTGGGCACAACTGGCAACAACTCATTGACTGGGATGAGGAATCTGGGTTGTGGTGTGGGAGGGAGACTGAAATTGTCTAGGAGAGGAGACTAGGATTCAGGGACTAAGACTAATACTTTGAGGAGCTAGTAGGTGGACAGGAGAGTTTGAGAGGGGGAGAAGGAGATCCCCCTGCTGAACGAACAAGGTACGAGTACTAACTTTGGGGTGAGTGAGTTTGTTTGGCTGTTTGTGTTTTTCTTTCTCTTTCAGATTATTTCAGTTATTTTCAGTTATTTCAGTTACTGGGTCAGTTGGGATTGTGTGTCTGCAGACTGTTTGAGCCTTCGTTCCCTGGATCATCCTTGACTATCTTTGATCAGCCTCAATCAGCCTTGAGAATCACCGCTCCCTGTGTGATTAACCTAGGAGAGAAGGCCTTAAAAGACAGAGGCTAAGCGACCAAGGGGAGCTAGCGAACAGGGAGTTTGTGAGGGAGTTGTAATATAATTGCTATGGTTGGGAAGTGCCCCATCACCAGTGCCAATGCTCCTCCTATCTCCACCACCTGCACCTGTATCCAGACAGACAACCTAACCATGGATGCCTCTACTCAGATCCTCACGTGGACTTGCAGAGACTGTGGCCTGCATTTCCCATTCACAGAAAGCCAGGCTGGGGGACCATCCAGTGTGAAAGGTGCCTACTGGTGGAATCTCTTAGGAAGCAAGGGGGCGTGGGGCTATAACTCCTGCCAGTTGCCTGTTCCACTTGCCTCCTTAGAGTCCCTACTGGTCCCAGAGCCAAGGAACAGGGCTATTATGTTTGGGCCGCTAAGCCTTTCCATTACTTTGTTCCCCAGCCTCATGCTGCTGTTCAGAAGGAGAGCACCATTCATTCTGAAAGCTGCAAAAAATTCTCAACGGACTCACTGTACCTGTAAATAGGAGCAGGGTTTCCTCGTGCTTGGCAATTCAGAGACACTTTCTTCTCTTCAGAATCAGTAGGAAAAATCACATCATCCGGCTCTTGTATAAACACCGGCCCGTAATCCACACTTTCTGCAGAAACACAAGGAGTCCGAGTTTCAGAACTCTTAGTAAATGTTACCTTATCAGAGCTCTTATATACTCAGGTTATAATATCACACTGCATTGCATATGTTTTTTCCACAGACTGACCATCAAATGCCTCCAGATGCTGTGGGTTTAAAAACTAAAATATGGTAAGGAAATGCCACAGCAGTAAATTCAGAGACAACGGTACTTGAATATTGTTTCCTTAGAGATCTACTACATTCGTTTGTAAGGATAATAAATAATTTAAAGCATGGGGAAAGGTCATGTAACATTGCCCTTCTGCTGAGCAGCAGCAGATATTGCGACTTTATAGGTCAGCTTCCCATTGGATAAGAAATCAGTGACATGGACTCTGGGTATTTTCTTAGTGTAACTTGTTCTATTTACACTCTATACACCTATATACAGTTACATATACACATCTATATACAGTTCCCAGGAAGCAATTCTTCCCCAAAAGTTGACTTTAGTTAAAGATTAATTCAGAGAGCAAACTGGCTGCTTTCAACAGCTCCCCCCCAAAGAGATTGTAGCATAGGCGCCGACTCGGTGGGTGCTTTGGGGCTGGAGCACCCATGGAAAAGAATAGTGGGTGCTCAACACCCACTGGTGGGCCCTGCTGATCAGCTCCACCCTTTCGCCTCCAGTGCCTCCCACCCACTGCTGATCAGCTGTTCAGAATGGGGCAGGAGGTGCTGGGGGGGGAAGATAGAGGAGCAGGAGCAGGAAGAGGCGGGGTGAGGGCAGGGCATGCTCGGGGGAGGGGCAGAACGGGGCAAGAAGAGGTGGGCTGGGCGGAATGGGAGTTGAAAGTGGCAGGGTGGGAAGAGGGGGAACAGGGTAGGGTCTGGGGGACGGGGTGGACTGGGGGCAGGGCCTGGGGCATAGCAGGGGTCGAGCACCCCCAAGGAAATCAGAAAGTTGTTGCCTGTGGATTGTAGCACAAAATAAATACCAACATGTCCTTTATTTCAGGGCATGTAAAGTACTCTCACACTAAGGAAAAGAACTTGTAAAATTATTTGTAACAGCACCAGCTGGTGAGTCCTGCCACACCTGTGTGTATATTGAAATCTAAAATGTACATTTCCTCCCATGTCACCTGTGAATTTGGTCTATTAGTATATAAGCATTAGTATGACTGAATTGAGAGAGATTGGTATGCATTGAATCTATGGGCCAAATCTAGATGTGGTGTGTAGAAGGAGTGTAAATTTCAAATTAGTATAATGTGTCTGATCATGTAAGTCTCAGCAAGTGTAATACAGGGTAGTAGAAGTAAAATACAGTGTAATTTATACCAATTTAGATTCCCTCCCAATTCTCTTAGACTCACCTCTGAATTTGGGACAGTGCCTGTAATTTAATTTGCAATTACTGGTCTAAGGATTTGGGGGCAAACATACACATTTTCCCTTTACACACAATGAAACACAGAGGAGCAGGGGTTCATCTATCTCGGTTTTACAGTTTACAGTTCACATAATAAAACATCTCCCAGGTTTGTCCAAAATCACCTGAGGAGCTTGGGGAAAGCATTTGGCATTCGGCTGTTTAAGTCAGCCTAATATATTTGTAGAAACACATGTTGGCAGTTGGCTTCTTATCACCCTCCTATCAGGGCAGGCTGCCAAACTAAAAATAAGCTACCCCAGGACTAGCTTTGTATGTGCACCTGAGAAAACACCTCACTTAGGCATTTCTGCTTGCTGTTGACATAAAAAAAATGGCCTAATTTGGTCACTTTTTGGAACCCACCCCTTTCTGGCCACAGGATCCCCTTTTGGCGAACTGCACTAAGTGAATTAAGGCACACGGAGCCACACAGTTTGGGCTGGTCCATAATCCTAATGAACACTGTTTAAGTGATTCAACTCACAATAGAAGCTGGTTTTAAAACAGGTGGACACTTGTACAAAAAAACTGAAAATATTTTTTTTCTGGTTTTCAGTAATGGACATTTGTCAGATCATCTGACGTAGGTAAACAAGTGAACGTAAACCATACAAATTTGCCTTCACTATTATAGAGCTCTCAGCATTTTAGAGCAAAGATTACACAGAACTATATATATATGGAATAGAGGAGTCTGGTGACAAATGCACAAGAGAGACCAGACAGAGCAGAAAAAGAAAGAAGAACAGTGACTTACTTCCTTTACAGGATCAAGAAATAAAATACCACTGTGCTCGTTACCAACCCCTTACTTAACACTGATGTATGATGGCAAGTTTTAAAAACAAATATCTAAATTTAAGAAGAGTGACAGATCCATGCATAGTTCAATAAAGCACTTATACTTCACCAGTAGTGACCTAATGTAACATTGAGTCTATAACATTAACATTTGCCAACTGTTATCACGAACACCTCCTGTCCTACATATAGGGAAAACAGTGGGTAATCTGAGGTAATATTGAGACAAGTGTTGATAAATTATGATTTGATGGGGAAACAACCTTCTAATTCTATTTTAATGGTACTACCCTTTTAAAATTCCATATGGTAACTGCTGTGTCACTGCCCTTTATTGTAAATCCATTAATAATTTAGGACGACTTTAATGGGTGCGGGGTTACACAACCTGGGCATCATGACTTTCTATATTTCTAAATGGGAGGGTTATGCAGATAGACCAGGGGTGGGCAAATTACGGCCCGCGGGCCGGATCTGGCCCATCAGGGCTTTGGATCTGGCCCACGGGATTGCCCCCTGTGGTGCTGCAGGCCTCGCGCTGCTCTCAGAAGTGGGCGGCACCATGTCCCTGGGCCCCGGGGTGGGGGGGGGCAGAGGGCTCTGGGGGTTGCCCTTGCCTCCAGGCACCGCCCCCCACAGCTCCCATTGGCCGGTAATGGGGAACTGCGGCCAATTGGAGCTTCAGGGGAGGTACCTGGAGGTGTGGCAAGGGCAGTACATGGAGCCCTGTGTCCCGTCTACCCCCCCGGAGCTGCGCAGGGACATGGTGCTGGTCACTTTCCGGAGCAGCACGGCGTGGGGCCTGGGCAGGCAGGCAGGCAGGGAGCTTGCCCTGGTCCCGGTGGGCGCCGCTGCCACCCCGGAGCCGCTTTAGGTAAGCGGCGCCAGGCTGCAGCCTGAACCCCTCCTGCACCCTAACTCCCTGCCCTAAGCCCCAGCCGCACCCCTCCTGGACCCCAACCCCCTTCCCTGAGTTCCCTGCCACACCCCTCCTGTACCCTAACTCCCTGCCCTGAGCCCCCTGTTGCACTCCCGCACCCTTCCTGCACCCCAAACCCGTGCCCTGAGCTCCCTCCCGCAGTCCGCACCCCTCCTGCTCCCCTGCCCTGAGCCCCTTCCTGCACTCTGCACCCCTCCCCCCTTCCCTGAGTCCCCCATACACCCCGCACCCCTCCTCTGCCCCCATCCCTTGCCCTGAGCCCCTTTCCTGCACACCGCAACCCCTCCCACACCCTGAACTCCTTTCCGCACCCGAACCCCCTGCCCTGCATACAGTTTCCCCACCCAGATGTGGCCCTCGGCCCAAAAAGTTTGCCCACCCTTGAGATAGACAGTAGAAGAATTCTGGTAGTAGGGGTCCTAATATACCAAAAGGAATCTTAGGGTATGAAAAAAGGATGAGGATCACAGGAATCGTTCACTGGTTGACCGTTTTGTCAGACAAATGTTGATGTCATATAGTTGATTCTCTCTAGAAATTGCACTCTATTAAGATCTGTGTGTCTTTTTGTTTATTCAGTTCTTTCCATATTAGGAAAAGGCCAAACAAAAGCTTCAGTAGAACCTCAGAGTTATGAACTGACTAGTCATCCACAGACCTCATCTGGAACTGTAAGTACGCGATCAGGCAGCAGCAGAGACCAAAAAAAAAAAAAAAAAAAAAAAAGGCAAATACAGCATAATACTGTGCTAAACGTAAGCTACTAAAAAAATTAAGAAAAAGCACAGTGTTTTTCTTCAGAAATTTGTAAAGTTTCAAAGCTGCATTAAGTCAACGTTCAGTTGAAAACTTTTGAAAGAACCACCAGAATGTTTTGTTCAGAGTAACGAACATTTCAGAGTTATGAACAACCTCCATTCCCAAGGTGTTCCTAACTCTGAGGTTCTACTGTAGTTATCCTTTCAATCTTTTTTTTTAATAAAGATGTGTTTACATATGTTGAAATGAATCAAAAGCTTATTGCTAGTTTAATGTGGAAAATCTAAAAAATAAAAGATATAACTTCAGATACTTGTATTTCTACGAACACAAGATTAAAACTAGCTCAGCAATGTGTGAAGCAAACAAGCCAGAGTAGGTGCAATTGACAATCCCCAATTTCCATTTCTTTCAGGTTTTTTTCCCTCTGTGCTTACAGTAGCATAGTATCTTAATGCCATTGTCTATGTCAACCCACTGCTGCAAAACAATTTAAGGCTCTGTTTGATCCTGCAAATAGTTACTTCAGCTTGTTTGTTTTAAAGTCATATATAGACACATGGCTTCAATGGAATTTATGTACAGGAGTTTTTCAGATCAGGCCATGCTTCTATATTTCTTCAATAAACAATAAGCTATTGGTGTCATTTATATTATACAAGTTATTTAATATCCTGTACTAACGGCCTAAGTCAGCACCAGCTTTTTCTAACAATCAAAAGATTCACTAGGTAATCCATCCTTTAAGCAAGCTAAAAATACTAATAAAAGTGACCTTCAGTTGTTTCTTGCAATTCAGCAGCATGCTGAGATACACTACTAGAATAAGAAATTGATGAGACTGGAGTTTAGCAAAAAGGAAGGGTGGTTTATAAAAATCAAGCCATGGTTTCAACTCCAGGTGCTATCTTATCCAAATCTTCAGACTTGGTGGTGTGGTGGGCCGAGTGTTCAAGTGTATTTGCAATACCTTGGGATAGTGGGAAGAAAAGAAAAAAATGTAGCATTTAACTATGGAGTATTTTGCAACTCAAGTTGCAGTGGGGGAGGTTTAGATTGGATATTAGGAAAAACTTTTTCACTAAGA